GAGCTTCTGGTGAGGAAAAGATTACAGCAGTATAGGAGCAGTCCATCAGTCTTCCTATAATACCAGAACATTTCTGCTGCAGACAAACTATGGCTCTCTTCTATCCAGATTGCTGTCTCTTCAGGCCATTGCTGAGAGACCACACTGCTACTTTACAGTTTCTCAAAGATGCCTGGTGTTTCTGGTCCACGCCAGGTACCAACTACTGTAACCTGAACAAGTAATGGTCTTTTTTCCAGCTCAGTAAACCAAAACACCTATCCTCAGGATTTATTAAGATCCAAACTGAAAAATGGCAAGAATATGGCCTATGAACCATTTAGATGAAAATAATAGCAACTGGCATATGGTAAGCCAAAACTCCCTATTGAAAGATTAAATTTAAGTGGACTTATCACTAAATTAAAAAAAAAAAATCCTCAGAAGCTTCTCTTTTAGTTGTAACATGAAGGAGGAAAAAAAATCCATTTTTTAAGTAACTTCTAGCAACAAGTGTTACTGAAAAAATGGCTAAGTGAACGATGACAAGCATGAAGCTACCTAATGTTCAAATTGTTTAAAATAGCTTAACAATTACTTTTAACCATTGTCTGTGATCTTTTTGTGTAACTCAATATAAAAATGTAAGTCCTTGGGGCAGCCTGGGTAACTCAGCAGTTTAGGGCGTGATGCTGGAGACCTGGGATCGAGACCCACATCGGGCTCCCTGCATGGAGCCTGCTTCTCCCTCTGCCTGTGTCTCTGCCTCTCTCTCTGTGTCTCGAATGAATGAATGAATGAATGAATGAATGAATAAATAAATAAATCTTTAAAAAAAATGCAAGTCCTTTTGGTTACATGTTCACTGATATAGCTGAAATTACATAACCTAAATCTACCAAGGATTTTTATTTTTGAAAAATAATCTCATGAATTCAAAGCCATAAAACATGAAAAGGGGTGAGGGAATAAGGAATCTGAAACAGATGGCATCTGATTTTTTTTTTCCTGAGTCCATCTTGAACACAATCCCAATAATGTCAAAATCCAATTTAGCTCTCCAAATAAGTAATCCACAAACCTTAAAATGGTAATTCTGAAGTAATTTCATTTCTCCCCCTCCTAGCTTCTCAAGGTTTCTATATTAGGCAGAAATAAGTAGAAGTTAGATGTTAAAAAGAGAAAAACTACCATGCCACAAATTCTAAGCTCTTTCATGAAAGTCTACTTCCACTTATCTAAAACCTTGAAGCAGTTTCTACCAAGATTGTTGATATTAAAACCTATCTGTGATATCAGCATTTTTTTCTTTAAACAGTGATTATTCATTCTTTTTAAAGATTTTATTTATTTATTTGAGAGACAGAGTATGAACATGAGCAGGGGGGAGGAGGCAAAAGGAGGTGGAGAAGCAGACTTCCGGCTGAGCAGGGAGCCCGAGGAGGGGTAGGCTTGTTCCCAGAACTTCGAGATCATGACCTGAGCCAAAGGCAGGGACTTAACCGCTTAACCTACTGAGCCACCCAGGCACCCCTGATTATTTATCCTTAATAGAGACCAAATCGTATCTTCAGAAAGTAATATATCCTAAAAAAAAAAAAAAAAAAAAAAAAAAAAGGAATAAGCTCTGGAAGAATATTCATTTGGTTTGAGTAAAGCACTGCTTGGCATTTTTAAAACATTTCCACGATAACTCTTTCACTACCAATTTGACAGCACCAGTCAAATCAACTGTACTTTGTTCCTCATATGCTTCTAGTATATGGTATGTAAGCCTTCCCAATCTTTGCTAAAACTCTTTGAGATCATCCAAGAGATGTAATATTAAAGAAAGGTTTAGTCATTTTTAGATTTCCTGACAAGCAAATTCCATAACTAACAACTGCAAAGATCCTTGGAATGGCCACATACTTTGAGTGGAAAAGGTCACTGAGAAAAGTGTCCTCTCAAACAGCCTCTAATGTTGCCTGCTATTTAGGTAGATCTTTTTCCTCTAACAGCTAGTATCCTATCTTATATCCCAAAGTAAATTTAATTTAGTAATAAGTCAAAGTTCCATCAGAATATTGGGGGGGAGGGGGGAATGGGAGCTTCTGATGGCTTTCCCAAAGCAAGATAATATAGCCTCAATTTTAAGATTCAAAAGATGATGAAAAATGATGATCCTAAAGACTTTATATACTCAGAAAAGCCATTTAGAAAGTCGAATAATCCACAAAAAATTTACAACTGTAGCAAATAAGTTCAACTCTTTAAAAAATATAGTATACTTTATATATCCGTTTATCAATTTGACCAACATTTATTTCATCCCTGTAAAGAAGCTGCAGTGGATAGAAATTAACAGTATCTCTGCCTCAAAGAGTATGCAATATAGTTGGAGAGTTCTATTTTTGGAAAAAAAAAGTTCAACTCTATGTAAAAGATAGACATAGGGAAGAAATGTATTTGAAAATTTCTCTCAAAACACGCAAAACCTATAAACCTCTTTAAAAAGTGATACAAACTTTATACCTACTTTCCACAAAATCTTATTAAAGAAAGTTACTGAACTTACATTTTTAAAGTATAGAGTGCATTTAAAAATTAAAAATTACTAACTACAGGGCACCTGGGTGGCTCAGTGGTTGAGTGTCTGCCTTTGGCTCAGGTAGTGATCCCCTGGGTCCTGGGATTGAGTCCCACATTGGGCTCCCCACAGGGGGTCTGCTTCTCTCTCTGCCTATGTCTCTACCCCTCTCTGTGTCTCTCATGAATAAATAAATACAATCTTAAAAAAAAATTACTAACTACAAGTTACATTAAAAAGCAAACTATATTAGTTAATAATGTGACATCATGTTACATCTACTGTATCTTTTAAATCTATAAAATGAAGAAAAAAATGAAGACTTACTATTCTAAGATTTAGGTCTATACTTTCATCATGAATAATTTAAAAGCAGAAATTCATTCCATTTTCATTTATTTTTACAGAATATTATACATAAGAATTCTGTACATATTGCTAATAGTTTTAAGTCTAATTAAGAGAAGTCATGCTACTGATGTTGATGTTAATCTTAAAATTACTTTCTATTTTATGCCCCAATTTTAATTATCTTCAGAGCCATGTGAAGTTAATTATACCTTATATGTTATACGTATAGAAGTGATGAATTACCACACTGCACACCTGAAACTAATATAACACTATGTTAACTGGAATTGAAAACGTAAAATTTATATACATTATTCTTTAAGTGTTTTTTATTTTTTTTTAAATCAATCTACACCACACACACTACAAATCCAAGAAAAACCTTTGAAACAATAATGGTCGCTTCAATATATTTGAAATTCATATATTTTTTTTTAGAGTTTAAAGAACCTAATAACTGAATTTCGTGATTATTTATGATAAATTTCTACAAGCCACTGAAAGTCCTGTTGTATACATATGGTTTTGCAATATTATCCAGTTCCCTTTCCATCTCAAACCTCATTCCACAAAACCGGGCTATCTCGACTGTCTGAGATTAATGATAACAATCACTCTTTCAATTAAAAGGTGCTTTCATTTAAAGTGGACTGTTATTTTTCTTTTTTTAAAGCAGGCTCCAACTGCGCGTGAAGACCAACTCCGGGCTTAAACTCAGGATCCTGAGATGAAAACCTGACCTGAGATCAAGAGTCTCAGGATTAAACCCACTGAGCCACCCAGGCGCCCCTAAAGTGGACTGTTACTTAAATGCAACGCACACACCCACACATACACCCTTACAATACTGGTAAAAATTTTAACTCCTCTTACTTATGAAGTAACGAAAAGCTCTGGTAGATCCCACGACTTGGCCAAGGTCAACAACTAGCCGGTGGGTGGCACAGCCTGGGTTCAATCCCAGATTTACCTACCTCAAAGCCAATACTTCACTTGACCACTGTTATCTCCTTAAAAGATTAAGAGGCTCAAAAGCAGAGGACCTTGTCTCTCTGAACGCTCACGTATCTATTCTGAGACATCTATCACCACACACAGATACAACTCGGTCGCTGATTGACATATAAATGAAGAGGATCTTTCTGCTTCATTTAAACTAGGACAGGCTTACTGACAGGTAGGAAAGAGACTGGAAAAGCAGGCTTGCCTCAACATGTCTCAGACCTCTAGATCTATAGGGTTCCCCTCAGTCTATTTTTTTTTTAATAAACATGCATATCTACCAAACAAGGGCTATATACCCGACGACGACTAGCCTGTAGTTTGGTGCTTTTCCGTATTGCACTTTTCTACGATAATTTATACCAGATTTAATATCGAACTGGGAGGCCTCGTTGAATATGCCATTCTGGCACTTTCCAAACACCTGAAGTATCATTTAAGGGCAGCGAGCCTAGTTCCACCTTTTTTTTTTTTTTTTTTAACGCTGTGATGCTTGCCCACTTTGGGGGGGGGGAGGGTACGGCTCCGGTAGGACTCCAGGGCGAGAGAGCAGTAAAGGAAGAAGTGGGGGAAGCACACGGAAGTTGGGCGGAGGGAGGTCCCCTTACCCCCTCTTCTGCCCTAGCTCCGCCAAGGGCGGCTCCCCGCGGTGCCCGGCCGACTCACAACCCCCACAACCCGGGGAGCCGCGCTCCGTCTCACGACGGAAGGCAGGGGCAGCCAAGGATTGCCCCGACCGCCCGGACCATGTCCATGCTCCCCTTGGGGCCCGGGAGGATGCTCCCCCTTTCAGAGCGAGCCCTCCAGGTGGCGAACTCCCCGTCCAGTCCGGCCGAAGTCTTCTGCATCCGAGGGGGCGCCTCCTCCGCGACCTCGAGCTGACCACCCGAAACTCTCAGCCAGCGGCGTCCCCCAAACCCTCCATCCCACCCCCGCCACCCGCCACGGACGCGCAAACCGGCCAGCGCCCCACCCAGGATCTCCGCGGCCCCCTCCCCAACCTGGGGAAGGGCCCCCCCCACACTCCCTACGGACACACACACACACACACACCCTCAGGCGCCAGCTTCCCGGACCCCGTCGAAGCCAGAGTAAGTACCTGGTCCGGCAGGGCTCCGAGGCTCAGACGGGGCGGGCGCGGTCCCCTCCCGGAGGCGCGGAGCGCTTCTCTACCCACCCGCGGCGGCGGCTTCTCTCTTTCCCAGGAGCGGGAGGGAGGAGAGGTGCGGGGGGGGGGGGGGAGCGAGGAGCCAAGGGGCAGGAGGAGCCGAGCCGGAACCACTAGTGCTGGCCCCACCCTCGGCCCGGCGCAGAGCACCCTGGCGCTCCCGATAGGACAAACTTAAACCAGGCAGCGAGAAATGGACACCACCACTTCCGGGTCATCCCCGCTGCTGCCACTCCCTAGCAACCGCGTGGGGTTGCTAAGCGGAAGTGCCTTCAAAGACAACCACCCCCGTTTCTTCGGGGACTACCAGGGGTACCTGGGAGCGCGTGCTCCTCTTTGGCAAACACCCTCTCACCTCTTCCCCGTGGTCGTAGAAGGGTCACCCTCCTCGCTCCCGGAGGCACTGAGCCCAGCTGGCTTTTCCCTTCAGCTGTGTTCCCCCCTCCAGCCACTCCCGTCCCCGCCACTATAATACACCTGCTCCCTGCCCCCCTGAGTCCCAGGCCCACCCACTGGCTCCTCCTAAGGCTCCCTCTGGTCCCTCGTGGGAGTTATTTTCTGGCGATTTAGCATCTCCCTCTTGTGGACGTTTCAACTGGGTTCAAAAAAAAAAAAAATCTTCCATGTTACGAAAGCGTTTTCGTGCACTTCGTTCTCCTGCGACAGCCTCTGCAGCCGAACGGTGAGGAAAGTTTCATCTTCACCTATCTTCTCTCTTGTGGGGATTGCACGTTTGCGTACGATCTGGGAAGAACCTAGCTCAAATCGAAAGGAAAAACAAGGACTGGCTGTAAATCGAGTAGAGTGATTGTGACCCTTAAAAGAAAAAAAAAAAAAGGCCAAATGAAGCCGGTAATCAGGCTGCGGAAAGACGACGTTTAATCCTCCTCCACTCAGAATAAACTTTCATAGTACGCTGTGGACAAGAAAAATGGGAGACCTCATTGATTCTTCTGTCGGGGTAATCCAGGTTTTGGAAGTATTGGGAAAACTACTGGCTGTGGTAAAACCCAATATAACTAATTAATCCTCTCTTTAAAAAAAAATAAGGTTGATTTATTCATTAGAGACACAGAGAGAGGCAGAGACAGAGGCAGAGGGAGAAGCAGGCTCCATGCCGGGACCCCCATGCGGGACTCGATCCCCGAACTGGGATCATGCCTTGAGCCGAAGCCGGACGCCCAACCGCTGAGCCACCCAGGCGTCCCTAATTAATCCTCTATTTAGAAAAATGATCCATATTATTATGGCAGTTAAATATTCAGAGAAATATAGTTGGGCATTCAGAAAAAAAATAGTAAAAATCTTGGCTGGACTTTCTTATCTTGAACATGTCTACTTAAAAGCAGTAAAGCTGAATCCGTTCTCTATCCCATGGCAGTGAATGTACTTGCAATTGCTGGCTCTGATTTTATTGGTCATGATAGGCTCGTAGTCACCAATATTTGGCTGTTGTCCACCTCATTGTAGGCACAGGAAATGAGCTTTGGTAACTTAAAAGAAAGAGCAGGGCTGTTGGGTTTCCTGTTCACCTGAGACAGCATTAAATTGATTCACTCTAGGCAGTTCAGCAAAATCTGTAGGAAATCACTTGAGATTCAAATGTCAGTAATAAGTTGTTTAATAAGCCTAAAACATTTCAACTCTTGCCATGGACATGCATATGTGTGGGAGTATGCACACACAAAAAAATTCAAATGGAATCTGAATACATCCAGTAATTAATAGTTCTTTTAGAGGGGTGTCTGGCTGTCTCAGTCAGTAGAGCATGCAAGTTCCAGCCCCAAATTGGGTGTAGAGATTACTTAAAAACAAAAACAAACAAACAAAAAACCTACCTGGCAGTAGGTGACAAGTGATAAACCTGTTACCATGACAAAATAGAGGATGGTACTTCAATTGTCAACAGAATCAAAAATTTTTAAATTAGAAAAATAAAACTAGGGATCCCTGGGTGGCGCAGCGGTTTGGCGCCTGCCTTTGGCCCAGGGCGCGATCCTGGAGACTCGGGATCGAATCCCACGTCGGGCTTCCGGTGCATGGAGCCTGCTTCTCCCTCTGCCTGTGTCTCTGCCTCTCTCTCTCTCTCTCTCTGTGACTATCATAAATAAAAAAAAAAAAAAAATTAAAAAAAATTAAAAAAAAAGAAAAGAAAAATAAAACTATGAGCGCAATGACCAATGACTTATCTAAAATTATGGTGGACTTAAATGTCACTAAAAACCATAAAACATAATATGGTTAATGTGTTCTATGGAAATAAATATTTTATTGGATAAAATTGTTAAATGTAGTAGCTAATATAGAAATGCAGGTTTCTATACATCATTCATTTTTCCAATTGCCTAAGGATGTATGACTCACAAAAGTATTCATTTAAATCTTCTCTTCCTACAGTTTTAAATTATTCAATTGCTTTTGTATTGTTGTATCAGTAACTGGCTTAACTACTAAATGGTCATATGACTTCTATAATTATATCATTTTCTTTTTAAAAAAAGATTTATTTATGAGGGGCACCTGTGTGGCTCAGTTGGTTAAGCATCTGCCATTGGCTCAGGTCATGATTCCAGGGTCCTGAGCTTGAGCCCCTCAGTGGGCTTCCCTGCTCAGCAGTGAGTCTGTTTCTCCCACTTCCTCTGTCCCTCTGCCTGCTTGTGCTTGCTCTCTCTCACAAATAAATACCAAGTATAGGAGGAGGGGAGTTATAGAAATTCAAATTTTAATTCCTAACATTTTTTCACAATTAGAGTTGCCAATTAATAAAACAATTCACATAATGAACAGCTGTAAGTGGCTTGATTTGGACAAGATTATTTCTTGTTCAGTGAAGTTTTGATTCAGTAAAGATCTCTTTCACCTCCATATGCTATCCTCAAAGATAAAAATATCCATTATAACAAAATTAGTTGGATCAAGGTCCAACTGAACCTTCCATTTTTCCAAAAATGAATTACCATGACATATTCTAAATACAGTGAAAACTGTAAGCAGTGTATATGTACATATGGAAAGGTTCAGTGCATTTAGGTTATTTTCTACTTTCTAAAAAAATAATAAGCATTTGTCATAAATAACTCTTTGAGCACCCTGTACAGCTTTTACTATGGTATTGTTCTTCCTTTGTGAAATAAGGTAAATACAAGATACATATGATCCTCACAATGTTTAAAAATTCCAAAAAAGTAGTTTTATTCATTGTCTGGTCAGGAATTTAACATTTATATTAGTAATCTGAATAATCCATTCAAAGAGGAAAACCAGATTAACTTTGTAAAGAAGGGTATAAAATTATAAACTTAAGTTTAATTATCTTTTTAATCTATAAATTTTAGCTTTTGATTCAGTTTTTGGTGGAAACAGTCTGTACTTCCCTTATATTTAGAAGAGGTTAAATTGCCAATCTATATTTTACAAAAACTTTAACAAGGAAACATTACATGGAATCTCTGCTAACTAAACACATTATCATATGTTGTGTATTTGGTAGCAATTACATAATTCAACTTCATTAGACACAGCACCATAAAGTTTCTCTTTCCATCAGTGAAAAATAGCAAATCGGATTTCAGATCCATCAAAACTTGACTTTAATAGAGTTAATTTGAGCTACTCCTTAATATGAAACCTAATTATTAAGGAAGTACTTAGGATAAAAATTTGACTCTCGGAATGCCTGAGTGACTCAGTGGTTGAGCATCTGCCTTTGGCTCAGGGCGGGATCCTGGGGTTCTGGGATGGAGTCCCACATCGGGCTCCTTGCTGGGAGCCTCCGTCTCCCTCTGTGTCTCTGCCTTTCTCTCTCTCTCTGTGTCTATCATGAATAAATAAATAAAATATTTTTAAAATATTTGACTCTCAATTCAGCAACATTCTGCTTAATATCCATCTCTAAAAGACAAAGCAAAAAATATAATCTACAATAATCAAAACTTATTTAGAAATTGATAAAATCAGATCAATGCACTGATTTGTATTTGTAAGGAAAAAAGAGTATCTAGTAGGATATAATCTCAGGAAGCACACAAATGGACAGTCTGTTGTGAAAATAAGTACTCATTTATTAAAAATAAAGTTCAGGAAAACACTTGTTAAAACATGATTAATTTTGACAACAGGAGGTCAGGGAGCAAAAAGTATGATGAGGAAGTAATATCAGTTACTAGGTTATATTGTACCCACCTCTAATTACACCCCTGGTTATCTTAAAATATATAATGGTAGCTCTAAGGATTCTAGACAGATCTCTAGGTTTATGGCATGTTGCCTTTCATGTTTTATTGATTTCCAACTTTAAAATTATAAGCCCAAAGGGTAATATTTTATGATACTGAATCAAAGGCATATTCTAGGAAAAGTTCTCTCTTTTAATGTAGTCTATAAAATATTCTTGTCTAATTGTATGCTAGTATTTTATCTGTTTTGTTGTTAGAAGCTTTATCAACTGTTTAATCTTCAAGCCAAATTGCCCTTAAGGAAAAGATACATAGCTGTCCAAATTTTTCAACATTGCATCTTTGGCCCTCTTTCTTAAAAAGGGTATAAGTTCAGTTTAATTAATACTGAATTTTTTAATGTGCAAAAATCTAACTCTGCTTCCTAAAGCAAATAAAAGGAATGAAAATATGGCACCATTCCAATAATCAAATGCCAATAAAAATGGCAGCAGTACAAAGATCTAAGCAAATCTCAAACACAGCAGATTCATAATTGGAACACCATGCAATGATTAATTTTTAGCAAGAACAAGAAGCTTAATAACAACAGGTATAAGAAACCAAATACTGCATTATACTGAATACTAAACTAAATAACCATAATTAATCTTACAAAGTCTCTAATATCATAATCACTTGCTTTAGAGTAACTGTATGTAAGCCTCATTTTTTAAATTAAATGCCTATTCAACAAAACTAATTGGAACAAATACATTTATGCAAATTTACATCCTAGAATAATAAACAGGACACATTAGTCAAGGATGAATTATGAAAGTTCTATTCTTTTTCGTCATCTGAGTGATCAGGTGGCAAAGGACGTGCTCTGTGGAAAGAATAGAGAACTTCAATAGTCACTTGAGTATCAACTGTTTAAAAAAAAGTAGTTATCACCTTACATAAATCATGAAAATTAATACTGTAATGTGTCTGGTTAAGTGAATAGAAATAGAGAAAATTAAACTCTATTAGTTGACAAACACCTACAAATTTCAAATATTATAGAGCAATAAAATTTTGTCAAATCAGTATTTCTCCTTTAGGATATGTTGCCATTTTTATTAAAAAAAAGAAATCTCTTTTTGTGATAATAAGCATAAAAAGTGGGGTACCTGGATGGCTCAGTCGTTTAAGTGTCTCTTTGGCTCAGGTCATGATCCCAAAGTCATTTGATTGAGCCCAGGTTGGGCTCCCTGCTCAGGGGGGAGTCTGCTTCTTTCTCTTTACCGCTGCTCCTCCCCCCTGCTCCTGCTCTCTCTCACTCTCTCAAATAAATAAAACCTTTTTAAAAAATGGCAAAAAAAAAATCAACCAATCCATTTGAGTAGAGAAAATATAGCAAGATGCTATATTTGACGATATAGCCTTTTGAACCATATAAACCTATTATCTAATTGGAAAAATCTCAAAATTGGTTAAGTTGGTATATGATAGTTGTAGCTTTTAAAAATTAATTTATATTACGCCAGAGCCATTTTGTACTCATTACATGTATTATAGAGAAAAGTCAACTGAAAACTTTTCTGACATAAGTCAGAATTTTTTAGAGCAGATGAAGATCTGGGAAATCTATTCTAAAATAAGCAGTTTTCAAATTAGGTCCCATAAGCTTAAATAGTCATAGAGCTAGGTAGTGAAAGAAGGAAGCTAAAACAAAGGTATTCTGACTTGGTACGAGACTATCATTGACTTACCTACTATTAGATTACCAAGAGGTCTTCATTGTATTTTCCTGGAAGTTACATTAACAAATGAAATACTATCAAGAGCCAAGCTTCCTTTTTTTTTTTTTTTTGCAAGAACCTGCTGTACTTTATGCACTACATAGCTCTATTCAAGATTTAAAGTAGATAGTCTTTCTTGATTCTGACTTTCCCCATGCAACTGAAGGGAATTTACCCTTTGTGAGAAAAATAAAGATGTACGAATAGTCATGTTTCAGATTATAGAGTTTATACCAGAAGTCTTTCTGATAAACTGATAGTTATCGGGATCTCTGGGTGGCTCAGTGGTTTAGCGCCTGCCTTTGTCCCAGGGCATGTTCCTGGAGTCCCAGGATCGAGTCCCACATTCGGGCCCCCTGCATGGAGCCTGCTTCTCCCTCTACCTGTGTCTCTGCCTCTCTATCTCTGTGTCTCTCATGAATAAATAAATAAAATATTTTTTAAAAACCTGATGTTATCTACTATCAAAAGCAAATCTATTGATTTACTATCAATAAAGAGTTAATTACAACTCTCCTAAACAAAAACAAATCTAAGAAAGAGGTCTAAAGGAATAGTATTAACCTCTACTACCTAGTTTTATGTCACAAATTTTATTATACCATGGATCAAAGTTCTTTATGAGAATATGCATGTAATCTTTCTCCATATAATTGAAAGCTTGTAATATATATTTCATTGCTATGATGATCAGTAATGGTCAATGGTATGCCATATTTGGCCATATTGTTTTGTTTTCTTAGTGGAAGTCACAAATAATTCAAGAGGGTTGTAATATATTCTAGAGCTAATATTGACTATTAGCCTGTCATATTAGAACGGGAAAGAACAAGGAAGAATGTTGCCAGACAGTGACAGGGAACTAAAAGAAACTGACAGGAATCATGAAAGCAAGTCTGTTAAAAGGCTTTATCTAAAAATGTATCCCATTCATTGTTGATTTTTATTGAAACCTGAAATCCTAAAAGTGACATAGCAACAAAGTCTAAAATTTAATCACTGCTTTAGAGTTTGACATTCCTTTTAGAAATCTCATAACAGGGGAGCCTGGCTGGCTCAGTCGGAAGAACAAGTGACCCTTCACCTTTAGGTTGTGAATTTAAGCCCCACACTGGGTGTAAAGATTGATATATGTATATATACATATATATGTATATATATATATATTGTAACATGGATGGCAAGCACTCAATAAACATTTATTAAATGATCTTATGAACAGTATTGAATTCTTAAAATTTTATATGCATAAGCATCATTTTGTAATCCAAATACTTTGTTTTAGTTGCTCTTTCAGCCATTTAGTTTGTGTTCAATGGAAATCAATTCCAAACACAATGTACAATCCCAAACAGATGTATGGTGTTCAGATATGAAGGGAATGTTCATTCACACCCATAGATCCCACATAGCTTGAGATCTGTTGGATCTGATTGTTCTCCTATGGGTTTCTAAAAATGACAAATACTGGTTTAAGACATATTAAGCCTACTATAGCCATATTGGACACTGTAAAATCTGAGCATCAGTGTGTTAATATGTGAATCAAATATTTCATGGAGTGTCTATTTCTAGAAAATTATCCATACATCAAGGCAGTTGTAAAAGTTTTACATTCCAGAATCAGGTAACTTAGGTTTAGAATCAATTCTAACTATCAAAAAATACTGATATAGAAAGTTTTCCAAATGTAGCTATTCTGATTCATAAAGTTTTTAAAAACGTATTCACAGAAAGAGCACAAAAGAGTTGTGAATTTAATATAGGCAAGTCTTGGGGCACCTGGGTGGCTCAGTTGGTTGAACATCCAACTTTTAATTTTAGCTCAGGTCATGATCTCAGGATCTTGGGATCAAGCCTCCCACATCAGGCTCTGTGCTCAGTGCAGAGTCTGCTTGTCCCTTTCCCTCTGCTCCTCTCCCCACTCATGCTCTTTCTCAAAAAAAAAAAAAAATATATATATATATATATACATATATATATACACACACACGCAAGACTCCTGTCTTCACTTCCCAAATACCTAATATACATTATTTTTGCCTCCTTCATATCTTTGTATCTTAATTTCAATATTTGTCAAATATGCCTTCAAAATATATTTTTAAGTTGTAAAAAGTTATTTAAAAAATACAGAAATAGGGATCCCTGGATGGCGCAGTGGTTTGGCGCCTGCCTTTGGCCCAGGGCGCGATCCTGGAGACCCTGGATCGAATCCCACGTCAGGCTCCCGGTGCATGGAGCCTGCTTCTCCCTCTGCCTGTGTCTCTGCCTCTCTCTCTCTCTGTGTGCCTATCATAAAAAAAAAAAAAAAAAAAAAAAAAAAAACCCAGAAATAAATGGCAGAATTTAAGATTGGTTAAAGTCAATGAATTTCTTATCTTTGGAGTCCAGTTAAGTGATCCAAATCAAACAAATCTGGCATTCTTACTGGATGGGAATGTGTGATAGGAAAATACCTGTCATTTGACTTTTAAGTATATATCCAAAAATTACTCGTGCTTAGATTTGTAGTAGAACATGTCAATTATTACATGAAGTCACATGCAATGTCAATTCTAAAGCCCCAGAGGAAGGAGTTCCCAAGAGAACAATGAAAACTGAACAATGTAAAACTTCATGTAGAGTATGTCAGCATTAAATTCGGACTGCTGAAATAATACACAGAGGATTTAAAATAACACCTGGTGGTTCCTTCCAATGTACATATAAATAGCTTCATGGAAGCTTTTTATAGAACCTAATCATTTTATGGCCTTCTAAATTTCATAAATCAAAGTAAAAACCCAATTTCCATTTTGCAGCATATCCCTTTTCTCTAGATTAAAGTGAAGTTATTCTTATTATCAAGATAGAGTTTTAAGTGTCCATATTTCTTAAGTTTTAAGTGTCATATTTCTTGATTTCTGTCACATCATTAATTTTCAATGTCTCTCTCTCTTCAGTCTTGTATGTGAACCTTCAGCAGATTTAATATTGGTATTCGTTATCTAGTCAAATCCTTCAGATGTTCTGTCAGTCCAAGTGGGGACTCTCACATTTTCTGTGTTAATAAAACAAAGAGTGGAATTAGTAGATCTGATGGAGACCTGTGTTTTCCTGGTCACACTGGACTTTTCTAGTCACCATATGGATTGGACTTTAGAGTATGCATTAGCAGGACACCTGGATAGCTCAGTGGTTGAGCATCTGCCTTCGGCTCAGGTCGTGATCTTAAAAATCTTTAAAAAAATCTTAAAAAACATATGTGTTAGTGAACAATAGGGCCTGGATCTGTTTAACAGTAGAGATGGGGAAGGGCAAGCAAGACCACAAGGAAAATGGCCATTCTGACTTGTGGCCATGACTGTAGGGCACAGGTGGACATTGTGGGTTCAAACAGAGGACCTGGTGTGCTGGTTAAAAGAATGTGTGAATAAATCTGTGTGGATAGAAGCAGTGCCAGAAGTAGCAGCCCCAGACAGAGCCTGACCATCATCCCCTTACCCATGTTGGTCATTGTGCCCTGGGTCAAACTTGCTACTTGGTGCACTGGAAGATCATAGGCTCCTGGCTGGTGCAGAAGTAGCTACTAGCATGATCTCAAACCAGGGAGCATCAAAATGACAGTGGCATGGCACCATCTGCCCACCCATGCTCACCATTCCTTATACTTCCAGTCAAATAATTTGTTTTTGAAACACAATTTTTCAAAATTGTTTAGGGAGCCTGGATTCTATTACTTACAAATCCATTTTTTTTTAAAAGCAAGTTTTCTTTGCCTTTTTTCCCAAGTGGCATTATTTTTTTCATGATTCTTTTTTTTCTTTTAAAGATTTTATTTATTTACTCATGAGAGACACACAGAGAGAGGCAGAGACATAGGCAGAGGGAGAAGCAGGCTCCACGCAGGGAGCCCGATGTGGGACTTGATCCTGGAACTCCAGGATCATGCCCTGAGCTGAAGGCAGACGTTCAACTGCTGAGCCACCCAGGCGTCCCTTTTTTCCTGATTCTTAAAAGTATGTTTGTTGTTGAAAGTTTGTAGCACAAAATGAATATAAAGAGAAGTTTATACCCAGACATAATCACTATTGACATCTAGTCTGTTTATACATGTTTTCACACCATAAAAACTGTACCTCTATATGCAGAATTTCTGTTTAATATTTATCATGAGCATATTCCTGACATTAAAAGCTTCAAAAGCATGATTTAATTATATTTTTAAAAAGATTTTATTTATTTGACAGCGAGAGCACAAGCAGGGGAGTAGCAGAAGGAGAGGGAGAAGCAGGCTCCCCACTGAGGAAGGAGCCCAATGTGGGGCTTGATCCAGGATTCTGGGATCAAAATCCAAGCTGAAGGCAGATGCTTAACCACTGAGCCACCCAGGTGCCTTGATTTAATTATCTTTTTTACAAAGTTTGTACACCTGGGGCTCCTGGGTGGCTCAGTCGGTTAAGCATCCACTCTTGATCTCAGCTCAGATCTTGATCTCAGGCTCATGAGTTCAAGCCCCATGTTGGGCTCCATACTGGGCATACAGCTTACTTAAAAATAAAAATTTGTAAAAATAGATAATAAAAATAATAAATGTTTTTAAAAAGTGTATACACAGAACTCTGTATTATGCAGTTTTATTTCTGCCTTGTTTTGAAGTATTTTTATGCATTTTTAGAGAAACTGTAAAGAAAATACACATGGTATCGTGGTTTTCAAAGTGATAGGGATTTATATGTTTTCCAAGTTTTCTGTATTGGTTATTTATTTCTTGTGGAGGTGGAACTAGTAGTTTTCTGAGAGGCTGAGTTAGTAGAATTGATGCTGGAAAAACCAACATAGAAATTGCTTTTTAGAAAAAAGAAAGTATAGGGCAGCCTGGGTGGTGCAGCGGTTTAGCGCCACCTGCAGCCTGGGGTGTGATCCTGGGGACCCCGGATCGAGTCCCACATCGGGCTTCCTGCATGGAGCCTGCTTCTCCCTCTGCCTGTGTCTCTGCCTCTCTCTCTTTCTGGGTCTCTCATGAATAAATAAATAAAATCTTTAAAAAGAAAAAAAAGTATAGAAAATAAAGCAGTAGAATGAAAGAATAAAGCAAGAAGTTCATAGTTAATAAAGCACTTAGCGTCTGATTGGGAATTGATCCTCTTTGAGTGACTGAAATGAGTAAAAATAATACCTTTCACTGATGTTTGAAATTTGGGAGTGACTCAGAATAAGAGATAAGCACAAGTTTTTTTTAAAAAAACCTCTGGTTTGTGTTTTCTTATGACTTCAAGAAGAAACTTTAAAGTTACTCAATATTCCCTTGTCTTTTATTTTTAAAAATATACATATTTTCTTTATATTCCAGAATATAACTTACTTTCTTTTTGCTTTTCCTAAGCCACTACTTCCTGCCTCTTCAGGAATCCGATTTTCTTTTTCAGAATCTTTAGGAGACAGCCTGAAGAATTCTCCAATTCCTTTTTGCCACTTGGGAGTTGGGCGTACACAAACCGGATTCCCTCCTGCATACTTATTTTCAACTATAAAATATAAACAGACGGAACTAAATAAGAACTAAGGGTGCAATTGCCATTCCTTAAAGGGAAACAATTATTTAATATTAAATCTACAGGGTATTAAGTGGTATTACATCCATCTTAAACTAATTAGAAAATGTGAGATGATAAAGCTTTATTCAGTCAATAGCATATTATACATTGTTATAATACAATGTGTAATAATATTTTGTTAGAGTTATCCTTTGTCCTAGGAAAATAAAATTAACAGTATTTTTACAACTGGAAAATATTTTTTATAATTTATCCACAGAGCTTTCTCTTCTGCATTGTCACACTAAAATTTAACACATTTTTCCTAATATGAGGTATAGTATAAACCATCAAAATTTTACTTAACAAGGTCATTTAGATAAAGCACCTAAATATAGAGCAATGTGAAAGTTTCCACAAAAATAGGTTTCATTTTTCAGAGCCCTTGGCTCCTGTTCAGTTCATAAAGCAAATCCAATTCTTTTTTTTTTTTTTTTTTAAGTAAGCTCTACACCCAGCACAGGGCTTAAACTCATGACTCTGAGATCAAGAGTCGCATGCTTTAGCAACTGAGCCAACCAGGTGCCCCAATTCCGGATTAAAAAAAAAAAATAAAACAGTAATATGGAGGAAAAGTTTCCGCCTCTTTATGAAGTAATGATTTATTCTAACCAAGATGAGCAAATTACTGAGCCACTACATATACCTTTTGCTTTAAACATATTTGTCACAAACCGTTATAAAGTTGCTTCCATATATACTGTCTGAAGTTTTTAAATCTTTTTTAAAAGTACAAGTAAGCTTTTGAAAAATAGTGATCTGGGGTGCCAGGTGGCAGTCCGTTGAGGGTCTGACTTGGTTTCAGCTCAGATCCTGATATCAGGGTCCTGAGATCAGGCCAGGTGATGACCGCAATCAGCATGGAGTCTGCTTGGAGTTTCTCTCTCCCTCTCCTCTGTCCCTCCCTGCCCTCTCAATATCTAAGAAGGAAGGAAGGAAGGAGAGAAGAGAAGAGAGAGAGAAAAAGAAAGAAAGAAAGAAAGAAAGAAAGAAAGAAAGAAAGAAAGAAAGAAAGAAAGAAAGAAAGAAAAGAAAGAAAGAAAAGAAAGAAAGAGAAAGGAAGAAAGAAAAAGGAAGAAAGAAAAAGAAAGGAAAGAAAAAGAAAGAGAAAGAAAGAAAAAAAAAAGAAAAGAAAAGAAAAGGATCCTTTGGTTCACAATTTTCCCAAAGGAAACTTAGAGGAATGCTTTAATTACTTAGAGAGTGAGCTACAGCAGCAATAGGTAGCTCAGCATAGAATTCAAACCCAGCTAGGAGCACCTGGGTGGCTCAGTCACCCAGGGTCTGACTTTGATTTTGGCTCAGGTCATGATCTCAGGGTCCTTGCTCAACAGGGAGTCTGCATATCTCTCTTTCTCTCCCTTTGCCCTTCCCCCCCCACACACACACACACTCGTGCTTGGTCTCTCAGATAAATAAAAATATAAAACAAAACAAGAATTCAAACCCAGCTCTGCTGATTTAATTGTGACTTTTACCCAAGTATGTAACCTGAGCTTAAATGTCACTTAAAATGAGATTGTTACGAATTTCATATAGTTGATTAAAAATAGAGATTGCCTCCTGGCTCAGTTGGTGAAACAGATGTTTTTTTTTTTTTTAACATGCAACTCTTGATCTCAGGGTTGTGATTATGAGCCCCATGTTGGGTTCAGAGATTACTTACAAATAAAATCTTACAAAAACAACAATAGAGATCTACCCGGGCACCTGGCCGGCTAGTGGGTAGAGTATGCAACTTTTGAACTTAAAGTCCTGAGTTCAAGCCTCATATTGGGTGTAGAGCTTACGTACAAAAAGAAAAGATCTATAAAATGCCTTAGGGTGCATTTGGCCAACATGTCAAGGGCCTATTCAGTTGGTTCTGGTGGTTCAACAGTGGACGAGACAATGGGATGTGGCACTAATTGGGATGTAATGGTATAGGATATGCTCAGTAAATTAATCACCTTTCAAAACTTTTGACTTACAGCTCTTTTATCTAAAGAGAGTACATTAGTAAATATTTTCTAATGAAATATTTAGAACTGGGGGAAGTTAACTTAAGAACCTGTGAAGTTCACGGTGCTCCCCTGTATGTTCTTAATTAGGCCTTGTGGAATTAATCTTCCTAACTGCTCAACTTCCTAGGAGAGGAATGAAGCACCAGATGGCACGGTATTTTCTCAACCTCTCCTTGCACAGAAGGAGCAGTATGAAGCTATTTCCACGGCCAAATTTTCCCTCCTAATGTCCCAAAGGCAGTATCAGGAACTGCACAGTTGGAAAACACACATACACACACACACACACACACACACACAATGCTAAAAAACAAACAAAAAACCAAAAATACATTCAGAAATAAAAACGAAAACGTTTACACAAGAAGACAATGTAATTAGCACTGTCAACTATGGTCCTAATTCTTAATCTAGTGAAGGGGAGCTTAAATAGCCTCTTACAGGAAAAAGCCATCTGCCAATATTAAAAATAAAAAAAGCTAAACCAGAAAAGAAAAATAGATTTCAAGATAAACCGTGTCTGTTCCTAATGCCGAGGTTTGAGATTCTTTTCCTCGGGACCCCCACCTTTATACCCCAACTGGCCAAGAGGTCAAGGTCCCCTCATTATATCATAGGGCAAGGAAGAAATTCTGGTATGAGGATCTCAGGAAAAATAAATTCCACAGTGGGTCAGGGGGCTTGCAGGTCAGGAGAACTGTGGTGCCAGGCCTGATCCCCCGCTTTTGTGTAGCTTTCTCCAGGAGTTGCAGGGGCGGTTTTTTGTTTGTTTGGGGGTTTTTGTTTTGTTTTGTTTTACCTTTCCTCGATGAAAGCGATGTGGAGTTAGTGGCAGAAGTAGAGGAACCAAGCACCTTCCTGGGGGCCCGCGAAGCCACCACTGCAGAGAGACAAAAGGAGAGCATTAAACAGAAGGGCAGTAAGGTTCCGACGCCCAGCTTCAAAGCCACGTTCTCAACAGTCCCAACCCTGCCGCTTGGAGAGAAGAGCCCCTCGATCCAGAACAGCAGGACACCCTCCCCACCCCTACTAACTATTCCCCACTCCCCATCCCCCCGCCCCCCCCCCCTCCACACCACTCCCCGCTCCTGGTAAACGGGCCAGGCCGTTGCTTCCAGAACGGCTGGACCAGTCTGGCTCACCTGGGCGGTGGCGAACCCCGGCCTCTCCCGCACAGCGCGGGGCTGCCCGAGAACCCCCTTCCCCCCTTCCCCCTCCCTGCACTGCCGTGCTCCACTACCTCACCTTTTCTGTAGGTGCCTGGGACACTGTCCGCTTTTGTCCGCACCATGTTCAAACGCGAGATGAGAGCAATCAACCGACTTTCCAACCGAGGGTGTTTAACTGCACAAGGACCCGAAAGCGAAATCTCCCGCCACGGTTTATATTGGTCTCTTTCCCGCGCGCTCCACCGGCTCCCTCGGGAAGCCGCTCCCATTGGTCCCGCGCCCTCCGCCCACAGCCAATCACCAGTGTCCAGCGATGACAGCGGCGGGGGTGGGGTGGGGTGAGTACGGTCCCATCCATCAACTTTTGCAGAAGCCTGTGATTCGTACCCGCCTTAAGTGGGTGGTGCCAAGGCTCTCCCTTGGGGTGCCCTAAGAGTCGGGGCTAAGTGGATGAGCTGAGGATGTGGGCCTGCTTCGGAAAGAACACCCAGGAAACACAGCGAATTATAACAAAAGGTACTACAGGGTTAAATCCATAATGACTGACTCCAGAAAAAGAGACTTGAAATAAAGCGGATTTTTAAAAGCAAATCAAAATAAAGAACTTTTTTCTTTTTTTCTTTTCTTTTTTTTTTAAGCCTCACAAACTCTCTCTACCGGGTCCATAACAAAATAATTCTACGGAATGTTAGAAAAGGAAGGTAATTTATTTAGAGGACTTTTCTACGTTTTTAGTATGGTGTGAAACGAAGAAAAAAACTGAATGGATAGTATATACAAACACACATAAAAAGTAACAAAGTAACAAAAGGGCTTCCCGAGATCTATATGCTCTCAGAGTTCCATTCAAAATACGTCAAATGTCAAGGTGCCTGGCTGGCTCGGCCAGTGGAGCATGCAACTCCTGACCTTGGGGTTGTGGATTTGAGCCTCACCTCGGTGTAGAGATAACTTAAAAATAAAATATTTTTTAAAAATGCGGAATGTGCCAAGGGTACATCCCTGGCATACAGTGATTATGATGCTAGAATAAGAGCTCACAACTATATTCTATCCCTATGCCTATCTTATAATTACAGTATCTCTGGGCAGTGATTTTCAATCTCAAAACCATGCATGAAACATAAACATAACATAATCAGATGAACTTGCCTTGGGATGTATTTTGTTAAATGCTCACTTGAAAGGCAATCCTGAAAATGTAAGCAGGGCATCAATTCTCTCCAATAAATTATGCTTGAACTTGTGGAAAATAGCCTTCTCAGTACTTCAACAGAATCGACAAATACTGTTTTAGAATTAAAGGATCTTGAAAAAAGGATTAAAGGATCTAGACAACAGGTGAAATTATATGTTAATTGTATTCTGATTCTATTAATTATATTATAATAGGAAACGTATTGGAAATTACCTGTAGCTTTGTTTAAGCCTTGGAGTCTAGGGCACCTGGCTTAGCGTTTGAGCATCTGCCTTTGGCTCAGGTAGGGATCCCAGGGTCCTGGGATCGAGTCCCACATTAGGCTCTCCGCAGGGAGCAGGCTTCTCTCTCTGCCTGTGTCTCTGCCTCTCTGTGTCTCTCATGAATAAATAAAATCGTTAAAAAAAAAAAAGCCTTGGAGTCTAAGACTATATTAGAATTCCTATCAGAAAAATCAACAAGCCCCAGGGTATTCCTTTCTTCTTTGTCTTCATGTCCGTCTCAAAACACAATCATTCTTCAATACACATTATCTCTTTTTCAGTTCAAGTGGCTTCTACAAAGGCCTGAATTACTTAATTCAAACTCAGATCTCAGATTCCAGTGGAGTTTAGATAGCATAGAGATTCTGCTGGTCTTTTCTCTTAGTTCACAAGTCAAGTAAATGGTTGGAAAGAATTGCAAATATACCTTGCACGGAGGAGCAATCTATTACTATAGCTGCATTTGTATGTTTGTCTTTTAACAACAGGGAAGAATGCATATTAAGGTAAAAAATTAGGAAACAAGCAGTGATGTCTAGCAAAAATTCTTAATTTAAACGTTTGTTTTGAAAAAAAACAAAAAAATAAACATTTGCTTAGAGGAAGTGCTTCTCCTTTAGTTAAAACACAGAGAAGAAAAAATTAAAAAAAGAAACACAGAATTGTGTGGTGTGAATTTGAAAATTTCAAAGGGCATTATGAAAAGTTGTAGTAGATATGTATGAAATATCTGCCTAAATTTATGCAAAGGAATATCTTAAGTCATGTTAAATAAGTACACTTGCTTTGCTCAGGCAGAAATGCATTTTAATAAACAATAATGACGGTAAATTGCATTGCATTACATTATGTACATTACAAATTAGAGATTACAATCATTAACGTATGCTTTATGTAAAAGAATACTTTATTCTTGAGAACCTAATAATTTCATCATAATTTATATGATGTACTAAGTCCTATTGTAGAAACAATCTTGTGATAGTTTGTCTCCAAGAAGTTAACATTCAAATTATGGGAACTGAACAGATACAGAAACAGGTAAACAATTTGGGTATGTTATATTAATATGAAATGTAGCATATTTTTATGAAGAAACAAAATTTGTACCCACTATTAACATACATTCACAGAGAATTTGGTTTTTTTCAAGCTATAAAATAATGTTTTCTAAATTAATAACAAAGGCAATCTACATCCAATGTAAATCAATACTTATATAATTTTGATTATTTATGTCAATGAAAATATTAATATAAAACAGTGAAGCAGGATCCAATAATGCAATTGCTTAGTCTACATTACCTAATGGGAATGAAGAATCTGTAAATGTAACAAAAAGTCAGTCAATTAAATTTATTGATGGGTGCCTGGTGGGCTTAGTGGAGTACAATTCTTGATATCAGGGTTGTGATTTTAAGCCCCATGTTGGGTGTAAAGATTACTAAAAAAATAAAATCGTTAGAAAAATTTATTGATGAAATATATCAGAGGATATTAAGTTCTCCAGAATAGTCTGGCTAATTTTCCCCAGTCCATTGTCCAATGGAATGAAACACCTAGAAGTCTAGTCTTCTCAGGTTGAAATACTTTGACTTTTTAAAAAATCACTGCAAGGGGTGCCTGGGTGGCTCAGTCCATTAAGTGGTAAGCCTCAGACTCTTGATTTCAGCTCAGGTCATGATCTCAGGGTTTCAAGATTGAGCCTTACTTTCAGGATCCCTGCTCAGTGGGGAGTCTGCTTGAGATATTCTCTCCCTCTGCCCCTCCCCCTTTTGCTCTCTCTAAAATAAATCAATAAATTTTTAAGAAAATATAAAACCACTGCAGAATGGAGGATGGGTTAAAAAGGTGATGGGGATTAAGAAATGAACTTGTGATAAACACCAGGTTTTACATTAAGTGTTGAATCACTATATTGTACATCTGAAACTAATATACTGCACCTTAACTGCAATTTCAAAAAAGTATTTATTTGACAGAGAGAGAGAAAGCTGGGGCGGGGAGTGGGTTAGGCAGAGGGAGTGGGAGAAGTAGACTCTCGGCTGAGCAGGACCCTGAGACTGTGACTTGTCCAGAAGGCACTTAACCCACTGTGCCATCCAGGTGCTCCCAACTAACAGTAATTTAAATTAAAAAAAAATTAAAAGGACATTGGTGACAGAGAAAAAAAGTATTACAGAAGAAAAAAAAATTTTTTTTTCACTAGGGAATTTAGGTGGAAATCCTTGAAAGCCAAATCCCAGTACCTGTTTTATTAAAGTTCCCGCCTCCTCTTGAGCTTCTCGGGTTGTCTTGACCCTCCTGGAAAAGACCTGGCTTAAAAAATAAACAAAGAGGTTTTAGCAGCAAGCATCTAGCATTAGACCACATGGATATTAACAAAACCAGTACCACCAAAGCAAATCCTTACAGCGCTTCCTCTAGCTTGCAAGAGCTATTTTATTTTATTTATCTATTTATCTATCTATTTATTTATTTATTTATCTATTTATTTATTTATTTATTTCGACACCGAGAGGGAGAGGCAGAGACACAGGCAGAGGGAGAAGCAGGCTCCATGCGGGGAGCCGGATGCGGGACTCGATTCTGGGTCTCCGAGGTCACGCCCTGGGCCGAAAGCAGACGCTCAACCACTGAGCCACCGTGGCGTCCCCACAAGAGCTATTTTAAGTGTTTATTTAAAACCTGAAAGATTTTAAAAGCTGGCCTCTCAGATTAAGATTTTTATCTTTTCCTCGGCCGTGGGCGTTATAGGTAATCGTACTGGGTTGGCAGGATTCCCGATTCCGAAGCCCTAGTTCTAACCACGCAGAAAAATCACGGGCGGACAAGCTCCGGCAGGAGCGTCAACAGCGCCAGGAAGCGGGAAAAAGGAGGTGGCAGCGGTGGGAGGGATCTGTGCTGGGGGCGGTGCCTCCGCGAGGGCGGTGCCGGCCGGCGGAACCCGCGCGAGCGAGGTCGGTGTTGCCAAGGGGACTAGTCCGGCGCCGGACGTGGGGTGGTTGGAACCCAGCTGGTTCCGGCTGGGAAAGATGGCGTTCGCTGGGGCGGTGTCCCGGGAGCAGCTGGTGGGCTGGTGCACCCAGGAGTTGCGGAAAACTTTCGGCCTGGATGTCAGCGAGGAGATCATGCAGTGAGGCCGGTTCGGGTCCCAGGAGGGAAGGAGCTCTGGGATGGCACTTGGCTGAGCGAAAGGGGAAGCGGGGAGGACTTAAAAGTTGATGAGAGTCCAGGAATAGGATAAAAAGGGCTACTGTCGGTCTCGAGGCGCTGAATCTTGACCTCTGGCTTTACAGTTTAGCGTCTGGAATTAGGGCGTTCAGGCTCCACAATCGGCCGGGGAGGCCTTTTTTCTTAGGAGAACGCCAAATCTCTGATAATTAGTCCTCCAAGACTGTCCCGGGAGCCGGTTTCCGTATAGATGCTGGAGCCAAGGGACAAGCCAAGTGGTCTTTCCAGAGGTACCTTGCAATGAGGATTTTTAGTTTGCCGGGATCTGGGTTGTGTCAGTTAGGACCTGGACTTTAAATTGAGGCTGCGAAAAAAATAAAAATAAAAATAAATAAATAAATTGAGGCTGCGGTGTTAAGGCGTAAATAGCTTCTGACTGAGGAGTCCCACGTTCTGGTTTTTTGGTTGTCATTTATCATTTTGGAGCCTCTGACAACTTGGTTTCCCTCTGCATAGCTTAGTTTCCTCGCCTGTAAAATGAATGATTAGCAGGGCTTATCTTTAATATTTATAATTCTTATGAAGTGGAGATGGTGACATAATTTACTATTTGCTTTCAGTGGATTATTTTAGTATGTTTGTTGCACTACATAACCGGTGCTAGGGCAACAAAGACAACTGAGCCCATTGGGTTCTGCCTGGTTGATGATTGGAGGAAATGTAAGGAAATGTAAGGTGTTGTGGGGACATGGAGTAAAGTACTCCCACTAAGATTTGAGAAACTTGGAAGGTTTATTTCAAGGGATGACTTTCACCCCACAACTAAAGGGTGGGTAAGTGGAAGGGCAGTGTTGAGGCAGAGGGCAAGACTTCTGCAAAGATTGGTCTTGGTCAAAGAGCCTGAAAGTGCTTCTTTTTTTTTTTAAGATTTTTTTTTAAAAACTTATTAATGAGAGAGAGAGAGAGAGAGAGAGAGAGAGAGAGAGAGAGGAAGCAAGCTCCATGCAGGGAGCCCGACGTGGGACTGAATCCCGGGTCTCCAGGATCAGGCCCTGGGCGGAAGGCAGACACTCAACCGCTGAGCCACCGGGGCTGCCCCTGAAAGTGCTTCTTGATTTGATTTTTGTTCATAGATGGTGAAACCTGAATTGCCATTTCTAGGGCTTTTGTAGGAAGTGAGTTTCTGAGTTTGGAGAAAACAGACTTGTTGGCAAGGAGACTATTTAAAAAGCTTGTATTAAAGGTTTTTGTTTTACACATTGGAATAAACTATATTAAAAAAAAAACCCTGCAAAATTATATGGCTTATCTTTACCCTTGTTTGAAGCAAAATCAGGTTAGTTTTCAAACACATTTTTTAAAAAGTGGAATGCTGTCTAATAAGATAATGAGACTTTGCAATATACCAAACAGAAAAACAGTCACTTGGTAAGAACAAAAACAACACAGAGATTGAGGCTATTTTTGATGGATCAATAATGTGGTATGCTTAGATGCAGTCTTCTCAGTCTCAGTATCCAATTGTATCTTGTCTGCTTAAACAGTATTAGGAAAATTCTGATTTTCATAAATTGTGATTTAACAGCTCATTTTGAAGCCTTAGATTTTTCTCAGTTAAATTTATCTACACCCTTAAAAAGCAGTGATCAGAAATTTAAGTTTTACAATTGAAGTATGGCTAAATACCTGCTTGCATTTTTTTACTCATAAGTTCTATAAGAATTGTTCAAAGCTTTAAAAAAGCACTGAAGCTACTTATAATATAATGCTATTTGAACTCATTTGACTTACTAGGTTTTTACTAGTTATTGCACAACAGGCCATGATGCCATGATCAAAGCATTTTTGTGTAAATT